TGCCTTGAAGATTCGAGATGAAAGCACATAATTGACTGATTCCTGATGCGATAATGCATAAAAATTCAAATAGTCAAAGTCTTCTGCATCGCAGACGCCGATTTTTAAGTCATAATTACACTACAAATTATCGGTTACAGTTACCGTATGGTTTAACAGTTCTATTTTAGCGCTTACAGACTAGAGCTGTATCGTGATTAGCTAAAATATAATAGACTCATCAACCAGGAATCGCAACAGACCATAGTGTGATTAGATGCTTTAGATGCAGAACTCTGACTATTCGTTCTCCTTAAACGCCAATCTACGATGTGCTATTTGCTTCCTGTTTCTACCTTTTGCCTTCTTCCTTCTTCGCCATTTTTATCGACAATCGTATTTCTTGTCACGTGTTTCTTACTTCTTCCGAAGTTTGTCAACTTTTATCTCGGGCGACAGAAAAGAAAAGGGGAAAAAGATAAAATGTGATAAAAAAAAAACTCTTAAAAAACAGGAAGCAAAGATCACACTGTAAATTATAATCTTAAAAATCGCGACGTGTGGTGCGTCTGCGAGGATGCTCTTTGACACTTGCATGCTCCTCAACCACCTGACATACGGACTTAGTAAAAATAGCGATCCCTGTGCTTCTCTATACCGTGATCAACATATTACGTGGTTACACGTAACAAATTGTACGCGCAATTCGGGATGTACGAATAGGTACGAGAGTGGTTAAGAGGTATCTTTGCGAACCGACGTACAGGCGGTGCTTTCTCGCCATAGACAGAACTCGTAAATAGCGTTATGAATATCGGGAATGTGCATAAGTGATCGCGCAAGGCGCTTAAAGGCGGCTCCTGCGGCGCCTCTCTCTTCCCTCAAAATCGCCAACTCATCGAACGTAGTTGGAAAAGAAGGAATGTATCGTGCGTGAAAAATCGTGCGATGGATGCGTATTGCCGTCCTTACGGCAACCTGAACCGCCACGCGTCGTTTCACCGCGTCGCTTGATGCGTAACAGACCGACGGGACGTCCTATCGACGTGCCCGGTGGGATGTGATAGCGGTACCGCTGGTGTACCGGGATATATTTTAATTCGCACGTGCGCCAAGCGTGCGTGCAGCTTTTTACACCACGTGAGGCCCGAGGGACCTCGCGCGATCGTGGGCACATGATTAGGCACTACGTGCTTCTCAGGCTAGTGACCGACGTGAGAGGTTCGCCTCCGACGGCGGGCTGCGATACTTGGCGCGAATGTGCAAGAAGCTGTCGTGCTTGGTACCGCGAGCGGGTGGCGGCGTACCCTCGCGGTTGAGGACCCTCACCTGACAGGGATCGTGCCTCGCCAGAAAATGCTCCAGAGTATCCCATCCGCCGCCAACTCTCACCATCATGTGTCTCCCCTTGAGAAGCTGCGAATACGTCAGCGGCGCGGTCATTAATGGCTGGCATGGTAGGAACACCGCGGACATGATAGGAATAATAGAGAAAGAGGAAGAGGTCTCAAGTTTTCGGGGAAAGGAGTTTTTGAATCATATGGGACATGGGTTTGAGGAATAACTCCAAATATTGTATGAAAAGAACTCGTCTCTTCACACAAAAAGAATAATTTTGGTAAAGTATTTAAATTTAACTAAATGAAAAATTTGACTGAAAATAATTTTGTTAAACTATCAAAATGTAGGATGCTTAAATGTACCGAACAATGCTGCAAAAAGTTTTGACATTCTAGCAACAAGCTTGAGGTTTCTATATGATTATTTTGACGATTTTAGCAAAACAATTTTTCCCATGTAGAATTTTTATAATAATTAATAATATTTAACATATGTTGATGGAAAAGTTTTAATAAACATTAGGGTTGTAATGTTTAAATTTTGAAAACTCATGACATAATTTTAAAGAATACACTGAGAGAAAAGTTAGTTGTTCGGTTTTTTTATAATTATACTAATATGTTGCTCTAATTATCATGGTTATTATTGCTATATTGTTAATAATAATAATAATAATACAGTGTTATCAACAAATGTTGGCACTGAAAATAACTACGATTAATATTATTATTATTGTTATGTAAAAATGATTGCCATTACTATAATTATCTATAATTTATAGTCTTTCTTTGGAATCATATCAAAACTTTTCTCTATATATAATTGAATGAATATATATAATTGAGAAAGTATAATATGAAAGAAAGTGAAGTTATGCATATTTCACTATCTCAATTAATACGTTGTTCCAATTCAGAATGTAAAAAAATATTCTACTCAACACTCTATTGGAAAGTTACTAATTTGTGAAATATATCACTTTTCGATTAACGCAACGATTTTAATTTTAACTTTGCAAAAGAAGTATAAGTTTTATACACTGTATATGTAGATGAAGATAAATGTGTTGAACTTACTCTGATAAAAACGTTACGTCCCGCGATATGGTAACGGCCTTCGCCGACTTTGCGCACCTTCAGCTTGGAGCACTTATTCGACGGGCACTGGCAGAGTCTCTGGACGGCCTCGGTGGCTCTTCGCACCTGTAGACAGAGGCACAACACGCGATGCTGGAGATACTGAGAGAGGTGCGCTCAAAACGAAAGGATACCGGGTATATATTTAGACGTTTTTTGTGCATCGGGCCGCCCACCTTCGTTATTGTCGAACGAACGAAGAATGATCGACTGTCACGCGAGATAAATCGCTTCGACGTGTCGTCGCAGCGAGGAGCAAAGGGCCGAAGATACGCCGCAGCGCGTAACTTCCGCCGCTAGGCACGCAGAAATCCGACACGCGCGTGCAGATGCATGCGTGGAAAACATATACGAGAAAACGCCGATTCCCATCGTCCGTGCACCTTTCTTCCCTCTCGTAGGATATAATGATTATAATGCAAGCGCAACGTCTGTAATAACACGTAGGACTAAGATTTTCTCAACGACGAAGGTACGACTAAAAACAACGCGTGCGTAGAATACATCGGTGAAGCCACATTTACATTAATGGAAAGAATATAAATTATACAATCTTCCGCATATGCATTTCTTCGTCGGACACGGAAGCGGGCAGCTTCCTCTGCACTGCACATTATTATTTTAATCTTTCAAAATCGGAGTTTCGTTTTCCCAACAAAAAAGTGCTTTTTCGGTAATTCAAATTTTGTTGGAAACTGTTAAATGAAATTCATAGAGATATTCTCGACATTCGATGTCATTGAATATGAACTTTTGTATTATAGTCAGTGCAGAACGCATTCGAAACTTACCGAAGAATCTATTACTGGGATTGCATTGTAAGTGAAAATGGGGCATTCTGATACCTTGCGATCGAGTTCTGTTATCGGCCCAGTGTGTTCCGGTGGTTCGGCCGACGACGGTGACGGCGAGCTCGACGGCGACGGCACTTCGTCAGGGTCTTCGACGCTACCACGCGACCAGTCATCCTCGGTAGTGTCACTGGGCACCCCGTCACTTCCAGTCGGCCCGTTGTCGCTAACGGACCTTCGCATTTCAGATTCATGTGCAGCACCGGTTACCGGGTCCAACCATCGTGTGCCCGTTGTGACTTCAGACGCCGAGCTAGAATTACATTGAGATTTACGTTGAGTTCTCCGACGCTTTCACAAAATATTATTACATGTCGAACGGGTTAACGAGAGAGAAATTAACTTTCTTAAGTCTAATCTACAATGTGCTCTTTGCTATTTGTTTCTTGTTTTTTTACTTTATATCTTTTGTCTTTTTGTATCTTATTCTGTTTCTTTATTTGTCGTTCGAGATAAAAGTTAACTAACTTCGAAAGAGACAAAAATAGGTATGCGACAAAAAACACGATTATCGATAAAACCCAGAGTGTGATAGTATTTAGAAAAATCTGCCTTTCTTATATTACAGTTATAGATTTCGGTTTCAATTATAGAAAGTGATAAATATAGTCTCGTGAAATCCCTGTCTTTTTTACTACAATTTTCAATATACAGTTTATTCGCATTGTTTGCATTCTAATTTATTTCAAAGTTCGATTAAAACATTTTTAATCTTATTTGAAATTTTGAATAAAAATATCTGGGAAATAAAAAAATTTTCATTCATTGATTCATTCAGAGATTCATTGTACAAGATTTCATTCGAATATTTTAAAACGATCGTAAAGAGAGAAAAAGAGAAGAAGCAGAAAGTAAGAGCACATTGTAGATTGGGCTTTATACATATATATATCTTTGTGATTTATTGAACTGTCCGAATAAAAACAATTATCTAAACAATTCAATAAAGCGAATGGTACCACCCAACTATCTACAGAATAACACAATGGCTCCGACACACACACACCAGAAACTTTATATATGCTATAAAATTCAACCACTCCTACAGAGTTGCGCGACTCGAGATTTCCTTCTCAATAACACCACGCAGAATTGCCCATTCAGTCAGTGACTGTTAACCCGATGGGGAAATCTTTCGTCGTAAACGAGTTGGAATATATCAGAGTTCTGGGCGCTATTTTGAATGCGATGCGGGTAAGTGAAACAGAAATTATACGAACGAATAACTTATACATTCCGTAATGGTTAAGTTTCGGTTTCTTCTCGCAACATCATCGCTTATCGACCGTTACGTTGCAGGTAACGTATTGAGGAATATTGTGTGTAAGATAGGTTGCAAGATTAGGCAACCCGATAGTTCGTGAGACACATTCTCATGAGCGTAGTCAAGGGGGACAGAGGAGACCGTATAGTTTTCCTAAATCTTAAAAAATAAAAATAATTAAAACCGCTTAAACGAATTATGCTTAATTCATAAAAAAATAATTTCAAAAAAGAGGAAAGAATTGAAGGTAAAAGTTAAAGAAAGATTTTCTGAGAATCTAAAACGGTTAGTGTTATAAATATAATTTTTTCCAGATTAAAGAAAATCAATTTACAATTTAAAATAAAGTAGGTTAGTTTAAAATAAATAAATATGTGTGATTTACCAGCTAATAATTAATTAAAAATAATAATGTAAAATAAAATAAGTTCAACAATCTATACTATTCTTCCTTCTCTGCTAGTTTAAAAATCTCAATGCTAATTTGGCTCCTCTCTAAACAAAATTCTAGCTACGCCTATGCACACACACACACATTCTCATTTATCAAAATACTCCCTATTCATATCTCACTTTTATCAATAAATTTTTATTTATTTCTGAGATTCTATAAAGTGCAACGTAGATATGCAACGTAAAACTATATCGTTCGCTTACTTCAAAAATTACAACTAAAAAAATTAAGTTTCCCAGAAAAGAAGAAACCATGTTTCACTTGACAAAAAATTATTAACTAATCAAATAATATCAACAAAAAAATATATTCTTAATATGATCAAATGTAATTTTAAAATTTTTATTTCATAATCTTTAAAAATCATTCTTTTTAAATAACGATTTTGACAATTTTTTTTAAATCTTTTTTGAATTATAATAATTTTGATAATTTTTTATAAAGTTAATTGATTTTTGATGATTTAATAGAGTAATATTTATTAAATCATTCATATAACTTAATAACTTTTCGTGTTATATTCAGAAAATTATGTTTATTAAGTTATATCATTTTTTAAGTAAGGGAACGATATACATTTGCATGCATTTATCGATAAAAGTGAAGTATGAATCGAGCCTTGAAAATTACGACTTATTTACCTGCTATGTTTGATCTTTTCCGGCGATGGTGTCCTAGGTGTTGCGGTCGGCGATGGTGACTGAAACTGCCAAGAGACGAGACTGCTGTGTGATATACCGCTGTCAGACAAACAGTGAAGATCCCTTTCTTGTTCAGCTGCGATTTCTCTCTCAAGTTGCACAAGTCCAGGCGGTTCTAAAGAATATCTGGCCGCCAGTCTCGCGACTTCCAGCAGACACAGCACAACATTCCGTGGTTGGCCATGCAAAACTATAAAGAGATGGATCACACTAGAGATCCTAGAACAGAGACTAGTCATGAGCGATTTTGTCAAAATACTACGAGAGAGAAAGATATAGATACATTGAGAAAAATTTCTGATTGAAAATGAACATTTCATGATTGATCAGAAGATTCTGATAAGCTCTCTCTATTTCAACTAGAATTATAATAGATTCAATCAGAAAATTCTGATTTGTTCATTTTCAATTAAAATTCCAATTAATGCAACAGTATATATACTGTCTCCCTATATATATATATATATACTATCACTCTAATTTATATTATCTCACTGTATAACCTTAATTAAGGTTACAAAATGTAATAATATAAGTTAGAGTGAGATAATACATATCTGTCTTTCGCGTAGGATTTTCACAAAATCGTTCGTGATCAGACTCTATTATACGAACTTTTGATTACATTATGTACACTCATTATATGTATAAATGACAAACTGTGATTTTACGGATTGGGATTCATTTATTATTTATATGTTATTATGGCGAACTCGATTTTATTCAGGTCAATGCTATTTACAATACGTACAATAAGACGTTTTTCCCAAGGCTTCCGTGGCCGCTTTCTGTCACGGTCGATTACATCGTTACATAATTTATGTAACCGCATTGTTTATTTCCGACAGTAATTAAACTTGATTAAACGGGGAAAGTCCTGCCGATCTTCGAAGAGCTGCAGATTCGCTCCACTTTCCTCGGAATCGCGCGCGGCAATCACTCTCGCTTCCCGTCACAATCAAACCGATTTGCATACTTCGTTTTATGCCGGATCATAATTTATACGGCACACGTTCCTAGTGTTCCTACACGCGTGTCCGCCACGAGATTGTGCGAGTCAATTACAGTGTTTCCGCTAATCGCCGCTCATCAACTTAATCGAGTGCGCACTTAAATCCCATCTCGTTGAAAGTCGTCCGATAGAGCGAATGCATAACCCGCCCCTGTTTAATTCGCATACATTAAAATTAATTGCGCCAAGCCTTACCGAGATCGTCGCTTTCGAAGAGAAGATTCTCGTGGACGCCCAGCCGCCGACAAAATTGTATGAAGTTCTCCATGTTGTCGCGGGAAAAGAAACTGCGACGGGCTGCATTCTCCCAGCAGCGACCACGTATCACTGGTGCCGGCTACAACAATATTTCTCTATGTTTCTGCGAGCAAAACTTCCTTTTCTTCAAACTTTCATCATTGTTATGTCAAAACAAAAATATTCTCAATTACAAAATTCGCTTGGTTTTGAAAACAATCTCAGTAATAATCAAGGCTAGATGTGACAATTGCTATGCATAAAACTTGATGAAACAATTTCAATCCAATATTTAGTCAATATACACAGAGAAAAAAGTTGTATCAGCAATTAGAAATTTAAAGAAAAATAACGCCTCAATTATGTATTGTAAAGTTGTAATAAGAATGTATAGTGTTCATATAAATTATATCAACTAAGAAAATATAGTAATATTATTTACTATACAAATATGATTAATATTACCAAATTTTTTTCAGTAATATACGGCGTATTTTTAACAATTAAATGTCATTGTATATAATACGATAATTTCAAAAGAAAAATTATTGTCCGGTGGGAATCATGTTAATAAACACATCATGTTAATGCAAAAATCTAAATTGAGATACAAGATAATTTCTAGTAACTTACTCCCTTCGCCCGTCCAGCCTCAATCGCAGATCTAGCCTTTTCCTGGATAACTCTTGCCAGTCGACACACAATCACTCCATTATCAAGCACGTCAAAGAAATTGTCACCCGTTATGTGATCCACATCTGAAATTCGAAGATTACGAAATTAGCTTAGCCATCGCGTCAGCAATAATTCGCACGTACGCATGAATATCCCTTGGCATAAGCTGCAAGTATCTCTCAATGACATTCAAGTGGCCTGATGAAGTGATAGGTTGTAACAAAAAGAATAGTCCGCTATTTACGAGTATACTTATTCAGCCTCTGAATTCGTTGTAATATTTTAAGATGCTTATTAGCATCATTATTAAATTGATGATCAATGAATTGTTTTTGGTTTCAGTTTATGTTTGTGTTTTCCGACAAACCGAATTAGCGCACAGATTATAGAATTGAAAATGTATTGAAAAATTTACATATAAGAATATTGTGCATCAAGATCCGCTTTGACCGAATATAAGATTCTTTCTGTTTTATTTGTTATGTACTTGTTGGTTCATTTTCTACTTATAATTGTTTCATTATTATTATTATTATTATTATTATTATTATTATATAATTATATTATTTATTAAATAATTAAAAAACGAAAATTGAGTAAATTTGAGTAAGTTTGCGGTGAAGTTTATAAAGTCCGAGTTACATCGGTAGTTGAAAATCTGTATGCAACTTCGCGAAAGCAGCTATTCGACACGATCGATCGACAACGTGATTGTAGTAATCGCCCGTAAGTGTACCAGACACAACGGTGATTCGTCCATGTATCGAATGACGATCAGCGAGCCGGTTTGGTCGGTCGAAGAAGCCTGTTTGAAGAAGCAAATTTACTACGGCAGTGATCGTGCAGTAAATCATTTATCAGTAGCGCGCAACGCTCAAGGACGACGTTTTAATAGCAAGATCGCAAGATTGGCGACTGGAAAGACAATGAAATCGGTTTAGGTCGGAACGGCTGATTCATCGTCCCGTGAGATTTTTATTTTAATTCTCGTCTTGCGATTTTCTGAAAGAAAAAGGGCGGCGCTTTGAAAGCCGCACGTCAGGGATCGTCGATTTGTACGACGTAGTGGGTCGTGCGAGTAACAGTCAGGTCGCAATACTCTCACGATAGGTCGACTCATGCGTGACTATAAAATCGCTTTAGTTTCGATTGCTGCCGCAAGGTACTAAAGTGCACAGATCAAGGACATACGTTCCACTTTTCCGGGTAATAAAACTTTCAATATCGATTTCATCGAGAGGAGACCTCGCGAAATTTCCTGATAAATACTTGATGAATTCTAACTTTCTTTGGAAACGAGCCGATCAATCGTTTCGGTCCCTTGTTTGTCTTTAGATTAGGCAAATTGTTAAAAATCTCTTCTGCGAAGAAGATTTTCCACATTTCCATTCGCTTTGATCAACTTCAATGTGGAGGTTTTGATCATGCGAATTAATCTGAGTCTTTCTCATTATTAGCTACCATTAATTACTGTCCCTATCACTTATATCTCTCGCACCCGTCATTTTCGCAGAGATCCAAACAAGAACCCTTATTTGCCTTGACAAATTATGTAATCTTCCTTGCGAGAAGGCACCTTCCATTTCTATTCTCTTCGTTCAACTTAACATGTATGTTAATTATATACGTTAATCCGAGTCTGTGCTTACCATTGGCTGTTATCTATTACTAGCCGCATATTATTTATTGCCATCTCTTTTCCGTATTCATTATCCCTTAGCAATTCATGCGCGAATACAGCCATACGGTAGATGATAGAGTAAGCGCATCTGTACTCACCGTCGGCCGTTATCTATTACCGCCTCCTGTTCCGATCCGTTAGATCTCCCGTTTTAGGATACAAACGAACGTAGTAGCGTACTGTGATCGTTATCCGATTATATATTATCGTACCGAAGATACTGGAGCAATTGAATTTCACCGGATACGCAAGCAGGAGTAGGCAAGTATTTTTTTTGTTCTCGGAAAACTCCTTTGCGATTTTCACTTCGTCTTTTCGTATATGTGACTTTATTTTTATTATTCGAAGTTATCGAAGTGGAGCGTATCGACTACAACAACATTGGAGAAAGGACAAATTTGATAGCTGATGATCCATAAAAGAATGTGATATTAAGAACGCGACTCTTAGATTACAGTAGTAACA